ATATATATATATATATATATATATATACACCCTGCATTATTAACATATTAATAATGTATAAATAATTACCTGGGTTGCTTCCAGTTGAACCAGTCCAGTGAAAGAGCTAAATTACTAAAACTCTCATCTAATGTTTTTTTGGAAAACTCTTCTAGTACAAAGTTTGGAGAATCATCTACATTCTTTAGGTTATACAGAACAAGCTGACCATCTGCTGATGCCACACCCACTAGACAATATCTATGAATCATATGAGGAGACCATTTAACATCAAGAACTCCAGATGTCTGAAGTTTATACTGGAGAAAACAGGTATCTTCTTGAGTCAGTTGAAATAATTGTAGACATCCTACCCTGGTCTGTGAATTGAAGCCTGCACCCTCAGTTACTGACTTGTCCTGTATATAAACAACTGCATGAATGTAACAAATATCTTGTATTTCAAAATTCCATATCTTATTTGAATTCAAACACTTTTTATGAATTTTCTGGACAGCCAAGCATGGTCTATTTGTTTGGTATCTGACATGGTAATAACTAGTAAATGTTTTATGCCAGAAGGCTATATGTTGCAGACTTCATATTTTTTGGGGGTGCTAGAGCAAGATCATTAGATTAGAGAGGTAAGTTTCCAGAAATAATTTTAATAAATCGTTGAGCAAAAGAGCATGTAATTTGTAGGAAAAAAAACAAACTTCTAAACATTGTAAACAATCACATTTTACATTGCATTTACATGTATTTTTGCCTGGATGCATATCAATATCTACATGCAGATCCATAATACAGCCATACTTACAAAGTAGTGAAGATGCATGTGTAAAAAATAGTAAGGAGCTTGAAGTTTCTTGAACTGCATCTCCCTAGAGTACTGAAGTGAATGAATTATACGCAGCCAAAAAATATCACCTATAAAGTTTACTGTTCTTGTGGAAATTCCTATATTAGAGACACTGGAAGAACCATAGCCTGGTCAAAGAAAACCTAAAATACCAAATCACCACAACACTTTGAAAAGTCTTCCCTAATTACATAACTATACTAATAGGTTTGAGAACTTTAATGGACTGCAATTGCCTGTTGAAACAAAAGGAAATGACATTTTAGCTTCTGAGGCCTCAACAGAGACAATGGTTTGCACATCAGCAACCTGTGGAAACAAACTCTACAGATATAATCATGTCACAATCATGCTGACAACCCCTGCCAATCACAATGACTGAACTTTATCACACAGCTGCACTTACCTTTATAAGATGCTAACAGTAACCTGAAGAAGGCCTCAGTATTGAAACTGAAACATCAGCTCCTTTTCTTTCAACAAGCAGTTGCAGTTCATTAAATTTCTCAAACCTACTATGTATACTCTGCCTAAAGTTCCACTGAAACAACTATATTAGTTTCCATACCCTCAATTAAGATCAATGACAAATCCTCAGCACCAAAACATTGAAAATAAGAAAGATAAAAGTGTTCTTCATTAACACTATATAACCAAAGCTTTCACTTCAATGAAATTCAGAAATTTACACTCTAGAAACACATTAACAGAGGACAACACATACTTCAGTTCTTAGACTGCACTTCCTCCTTCTAGTAATAACACCACCACCACAATGATAACATCATAAACTAATCCTTAGCAGAAAGAGTTCTCCCAAAACAACCAAGCTATGGCTATCAAAGAAAAATATGTATACCTATGCCACAATTTCCAAAGAAGCTTGAAGTTCTTATCAAAAAGACCAAAAGATCATCTACTCCTATACCACAGGCAACTGCAGTCCATATAAACTTCAAATTCAGAAAATATAATTTGTCCACAATTGTCATAACAATTTGTGAAGTTTGAAAATATGCAGAACTACAACTTTTGCAAAATAGTTTAGTAAAGAGTATTTTATAATTCCAAAGATGTATATCACATTACTTTTCATTATTTAAATAAATAAAATGGAAATAAAAACATTAAACAAGTTGTAGAAGTTCTCTAACTATAACAAAGTTTAAATAGGCAGGATTCAGACTACTAAGTTTGGTATAACCTTGATGAGTGCTATCAGTAAAGAGGTTATAGTGCTGTGAACTTAGGATTTTTCAAGGCTTATGTAGATGTGAGGATTGGATAGAATTGGCCATATTTAAATATATGTTCTTGTTCTTTGGGAAGTTGTTTACCTCAGTGGATCAACTAACTTGCTGTAATCTACTTACTTATGTATTTCACAATAAAAAAAGTTATAGTTAGGAATTTTACCTACCCTTTACCAATATTACAACAGACTTCTAAGATAATTTACCTTGTTAAGATGAATAACTTATATGTTACTCAGTTTAAGAATACACCTATACAAAATAAATGTATAACACACTCATAAACATTCTACTTTTGCTCTTTACTATAAGTTGTATTGTATGGTTTAATTTTACATCTTAGAATTTCATATTTGTATTAAAGAAAGCAGAGACAGTAAACAAAATATTCCCTATTCATTTGGGATCAAAAATTTTTCAACTATAAAAAGAAAATGCAGTAAGTTATCCCAAATGAAAATGTTTTTGTTTATTTCACATTCATTAGAGCTGCATAATTAATTGATTACTTATGAGCATCGATCACATCAACTAGTCATGTAAAAAAAAACAATCAATTGAAATTACAATTAAGCTAATTAATGTCACAAAAATAATCAACTAATCAAAATTAATGTTTCCAATTATTTAAACTATCCAATTAATCAAAATATTGTTCATTATGATTCCTCATTATTATCTATGATTAATTCAATGTTGTTCATCTTAATTGATCAGTCATAACTGACAAATGTAATCAATTAATTGAAACTAGTGTTTCCGATTATTCCAACTGTCTAAGTCTCGAAATTAATCAATTAGTTAAATGTAACTGATTAATGAGTCCGATGATTAATTAACCATCAAATGCTACTATAACCCATCTAATGAATATTCTTTTCAAATTAAAAAATGTATAAACCATTTTAGTTCTAGTTTATGTTTTCAGTTAGTTACTAGTTACTTTGAGTTGAATAAAAGTGATTAAGTATATTAATGTTATCTAAAATAATGAGCAAACTAACCTCTTCTAACTGATACATTCCACATAACAGAAGATCTTGATAAGGATTTACAGGGCACCACTCAACACTGTCTGCATAATAATCAACATCAGTTTCCCACATCTTTAATGGAAATGTTGAAGAATCATATGTTTGTGCCATTGTTGATGTTAATACTATTAGAGAAAAACAATGGTACATGTGAAAAACAAACAAAAACTAATATAATAAAAATTGTTTATAAGCTGTGACTTGTTAAGAAAAATCAAAAGATTAATATGATTGTACAAAATGAAAAAATTACTTAAAACATTGTCATTATCAAAAATATATCTGATTCTTGAGTACATTTAACCTATTCAAATTTCTTTCTCTGATGTAGTAATATAGTTTATAAGTCATTTTCATATGAAGCTTTCAAGTTAAATTAGCTATTTTATTTATACTTAATATAAAAACTCAATCCAGCCTCAGAACAACTTATTATGAATATGAGTAATACATCCATCTTGAGAAAATGTAGACTTAAACTCATTCTTTATTTTTCAAAGAAAGTATTCATTTTCCCTTTTCAACTATTGTAAAGTGGTGGTCTCCACTACTAATTCCAAAGTCAATCCTGGTTAGAAAAATATAACTTTCTTAACTAAAGCCTAGCTTGTTTTTCTTGCATTTCTTATACAAACTTGTAGCAGAACTTTCAGAATATCCACTTTCTACCTCATTGATTTAATTCCAATTTTCAATTCCATATTATATGTTTTCAAGAATGCTGCTAAAAATAACTTACAGTAAGACACTTACAATAAAACTCTGTTCAATTTTAGATAAACAATAACTATTATGATAAATCAACTTCATAATATTAAAAACCAGAATAACTACATATTTCAACTACTGGCTGTTGCTGAGTGTGTAGATGCTAATGCATGTAGTAATCAAAACAAATCCTCTACCAAAAGAAATAATGGAAGTCACTTATACAAGGCTCAAGAATGAAAAGGCATCTTGCCTGATAAACTTATGTACAGCTGTTTGAGGTATATCCAGAAATAACTGCAAACAACCCACTCCACACTTCACTAAACTCCAGAATCAAGAAAAAAAGATCACCAGAATGGAGGAAGAGCATAATAATCAAGATCTCCAAGAAAGGTACTCTTAACAGACTGCAACAACTAGCATGACATTACCCTCCCATCTATTCCTAGCAATATCTTATACATGACTATGATAAAGCAGTTCTCTGCTGCATTTATGGTCTCCTAAGAAAGGAATGGGCATATTTTAGAAAAGAAAAGTGGTACACTGATTATAATTTTGAACTCAGAAACATCATTGAACGGTGCACAGAATGTCAAAGACAGATTTACATCAGTTTTATTGATTTGGGGGAAGCATTTGATAGTATATACAGGAAGAGCCTCTGAAAGACCCTCAGAACTTATGGAATTCACTCAAACATAGTAAGAATTATAAAACAATTCTACAATGACTTTAGCTGCACAGTAGGGTGTTCTAATCTGATCTTTCAAGTACAGAGTCAGAAAATATGTGTAGTGTTTGCTCTCCTATTCAACCAGATGGTGGACTGGGTGCTCCCACACACATACCAGACAACTAAAGCATACAATCAAATTGACTCATTTTTACAACATTAAAGGACCTCACTCAAGCAGATGATGGAACTCTCTTGTCACACACCTCAGGATAAAACCAACAGACAGCAAATCTTTAGGCAACAAATCTGACTGATAGTCAGTACCAAGAAAACAACAGTTATGCCAGCTAATATGTCATCAACAACATTTTTTAGCCTTGAACATGATTAAATAAACTCCATACAATCCTAAACCTACTTTAAAAATACTATCTGTCACAATGGTGGCACAAGTAAGGACACTGAAAACAGAACCGGTAACTCAAGAAGCTTTTTCTCTAAACCCAGACCAGTATGGAAATCAGGACAGCTCAGTAGGAAAACTCAACCCAGGATTTATCATAACTGTGTGCTCTCAGTCTTGCTATAACATTTTAGTTACAACATTTTGGAGGTTATTGTTAAACATTACAAGATTTCATACACAAAATATCAGGTTGTTAAATTAAGTATTAAGATTTTTTAATTAAAGATTTTCTCATAAACCTTTTTCTTTCAGAATGTTGATTATCCAACATTCAAAGTAATTTTGATTTTACGTTTAAAAATAGTTTGATGCATTAGAACATTTTTCAAATTTCACATATGAAATCCTTTATAATCTCCAGATAATTACCAAATTTTTTGTTCAAAAAACTATGTTTTATTTGTTATTTTCACTAGTGTATTTCTGTACTGGTTGGTTCGATATGACCAACTTCCTAACCTCAATAAAAAATTAGAAAAACTTATAAATTATGCTTTTTTTGTTCTAGAATGGCTACAAATTATAACACAAAAACACAAATTTTTAATATAAATAGCTTAAATCTCATAACCGTATACAATAATTTATATATATATATATATATATATTTATTTATTTATTATTTTTATTATATTGACCTTCCAGCTGTTCCTGGCTAACAATACAGATTACAATAATGTGGCGCACGTCCATTCGTATTAGTGTATCCAATAATATATAACTGACCTTTAGTCTTTACAAAGTGACCTGTCTTGGCTATGTTTTAGTGGACTAGTATTTTGTAAAATATAATCACATTTCAACTATTATACATTATATAAGTATAAACATTATTTCTATTTACAAATAAGCTCTAAAACTTATTATTCTTAAAACATAGAACAGTAAATAAAGAAGTAAAGCAAACAATTATCTCTTCTAGTTACGACCTTTGTACTCATTTGCTGTTTGTCATAGGTTGCTACGCCTTATGAAATTTTCCACATGGAGGATGTATAAAAAAATTTTTTTTTAGGTTTTATATATATACATTTGAAATAACCAAAAAATAATAAATTACTATATTGATACCATAGAATTACACTATAATTTATCAGGTGTAGTAACTAAGCTGTATTTGGGTCTAAAAAATATGAAATTTTGACCTCATTAAAGACTTGTCTCATCTTTTTGAAATCTTGTGTGAAAAAGACAGAAATTAGCATAATTACATGTCAAAATGGCTGAGAAAACCACTAATGGGATATTCTGAGCTTTCAATTGGTTATTCATGTCATATATAGAAGTAAGCATATATAAGGGACCATTTCCAAAAATAGAAAGAGGTGAGCTGGGAAGCCACTGTGTTTGATGCAGTACAAGAGCAATATCTTAGCAAATAGAAAATATAAGACATTCTTATTTTATATTCTAGCTTGACAATATCAGTAGTTTGAGTTCCCAATTCGTATGAAACTTTAAATTTTGTATTTTAACATCACAAACATCTAAACTGAACCAGTGCTGCATTCAACATTTTACGTGACACACAAAAATCAATGTTTAGCTGTGTTTTTTAATATTTACTTTTATATTAAGAAATTAACTAAAGTATAATATTAAAATTTGAATTATAATCTACAATTTGATACCAAACTTATTGACATAGATTCATAAAATAGTAGTTCAATAAAATTTTGAATGCAAGTCAACAAACGTGATGACATGGCCTTTGACACGTGACCCGTCGAAGTAGGATTAATGGCATTTTCTACTGGTCACCTGATCAAGTTATTAACATTGAAAGAAATATGTACACATAAATTAGTTACATTGTAAATTTAAGATTTGTATGAGTCTTGACTAGTACGAGACTTGAGGTTCTGAGATAATCTTTTCTCAATCAGCATGTAAAATATTGTAATATGGAAGTGCTATCTTAGACCTTCATATTACTGAGAAAGATATGGTTTGAAATTCAGTTTAAAAAAAGCTTTTCTTTCTTTAATGAAACTAGTAATAAAGTTGGTATGAGCAAAAAACAAATAAAAAGCTGACTTTCAAAATGAGAAACATTTTTAAGAGAGATAATTTCATGAATGATCTAAATATTTTGATAGTTCAGATAATCTAGTTGAAAAGTATATTCTTACCAAACACTTATGTTTCAGCTTTAAAGTGTTAATGATGATTTCACTAATGAATGTGAAAAAGAAATCCCTCAAACTGGTTAATTTACATGGATGTTGATGAAACACAATATAGTTGTTTAAGAAAAAAAAAGGAACTTCTTTGAAACAAAGTTCATGAGTCTAATGAGATGTATTCTTAAACACAGAGAGACATAAAAAAAGGCATGGTAACAGAATGTCACTACCCTATTATGGTCACCTTTCATTCAAAAAATTGTGGTATTCGAGTACACTGATGTCAATAGTTAATTGAAAAGTTCCCAAAATTATGCTGATTTAGTACTGTTAAAGCATGGCAAACACAACAAGTGAAAATAAGTGAACAAACAAAATATTTATTTACATTAAAAAGTAAAAGTTACCCACTGACTGGCTTTTGAGATCAAGAATAGGAACACTAGAGCCAAAAATCAAGAAAAATAAGAGACAGAATTATGGAAATACCAACTTTACACTAAAATAGCCTTTACAAGTAATGAAAAAAACTTTTGAAAAAAGGAAGAAAATGCAGTAATGGCTAATATCAATCTGTCAAAACCAATGCAAACAAGATAGTAGGGATGGCATTTACATCATCCCTACATAATAGCATAGGCACACAGTGTAGCAGAATGTTAACAGACAAAAATAGGATAACTGAACCTCAATTTTGATTGAATAGTTACATATATTGCTATATGTTAATTCTTGCCTGTGCTATAATATAGGTTATGATGCAAGTGCCACCCCTGCTATCTTGTTGCATTGGTTTTGAGATTGCTATTAGCCATCACTACATTTACTTCCTTTTTTTCTAAGTTTTTTCTTTACTTGTTTGCCTGTTTATTAATGCAGAGTTTCAACAGACATAGGAAGGTTGTATTTATAACCAAGTTCTAAATACAATGAGGTTCCAACTGTAATATTTATTGTTTATCTATTATTTGTTTGTAATTCCTGTTCCACCCTGTACTTAAACTTTTTAAAGGAACACCAAATTTCTGTAAGAAAGTCAACTTCAGAGGGTAATAATAACATCATTTACATTAGAATTGTGACTTTTTTTTAATTACTACTAGTTATCAATAATACTTATAAAAGTGGATACTCTGTTTGAAACTATGCAACCTCAGTGAAATTGGTTGACACCATTGTTTTGGTTTTTAAGTTATCATGTAATATAAAAGAAGAAGCAGAATGAAGAACAAGTTCTTTTTGCTATGATATTTACTGACATTCCCAGAATTTGACAAATATTACATAGATATTGTTATAAAAGAAAACACTCTATAGTATTGTAAAGTTCTGATGACTTATTGAGGAGATATTTAAAATACCATTTCAATGAACAATACGTGCGATCCCTACACTGGTAGTGCTACCACCTGCCTGATAGTGGTATCATACAAGTCCTCTGGTAACATATAATTTTAAGCCATTCCAAAGCAGTTTTTGCAGGTTTATATACTACCCACTTGAATAGGTTACCTTGCAAAATGTCCAAACAGAAAAGCACACATGTTAGCTTGAGACTAAAGACAAACAATGGTGCAGTACCTATGTAGAAGGATTAGCACGTTAATCACCTTGAGACATCAGTCATCCCTCATGTGACTAACTACATGCAAAAATTGCATGGAAATTTATCAACTGCAGAATCAAGCCAACTCAAAAACAACCAGTTAAATATTCAATTCTTATTTAATAAGATACAGAGTTGTTTTTTTTTGTAATCAAAATCCTTGAATTTACAGTGCATATAATTAGGCTGTTAACTGATACACAAACACAATATGAATGACAAACCCTCATTTGGTACCCAGCTGTGAGGCAATCTTTATATACATTTTTGCACATTATCAATGCTTATCTACCACAAAAGTGAGGCTTTTCCAATACCAAATTTCCATATCTCATATAACTTTACTTCTCATGCATATTAAAACTATATTTCAAGTTCTAGCCTATTCACTAAGATTGGCAAGATTCTCAACAGAGTCAACTCTTCACAGATTTTAGTATCATTGGCTAATTTGAAAACATCATCAAAAAGGCTATCCAAGTTATTAATATACATAAGACAACACACACACACTTCAAACCAGACCATAATAATATTTATATTTTTCCAATTGAAAAAAATGCTAATAGACATATTTTCGGTAAGAGTTCCATATGGCACCCCCACCCAAAAATTGTAGAATTGCCTGGATAAAAAAGATTCTGAAA